ATATCCAATTCCAGTGAGATTTCGGAATTTTAAAATCTTATTTTTAACTATGTTTTGAACAATTACACGCATTTGCAGCTTGTTGTAAATTTATGTACCTTGACTCTTATTTTTTAGTCTAATTTAAACGGACTACAATTTCAGTTTCTCCATTTATTTATTACTATATTTCCACGTTATATTCTACAAAGTAGTTTTTCCAAATTGTCTCGAAACCTCCATTGTGATTCCTTTCCATGAAGCGGGAGATTCTAATGTCTCTTCAAATTTCCAATCGTTTTGATAATAAAACTTACGAAGATAATATAAAAATTAAACAAGAGGATATTGGTGCGTTTTCTTAAATAAAATACTCGTGATACTATTTTTTCATTTCTGTACCACCCACGTACCAAAATAAATGAAGGATGCATTGCAGAAGTAGTATTCTGTGGTGTGTGTGTGCTGTGCAAGTATGTCTGTGGTGTGCAAGTGTGTATGTGGTGTGCAAGTCTGTGTGATGTGCAAGAATGTGTGTGGTGTGCAAGTGTGTGTGTGGTTTAAAAGTATGTGTGAAAGTGTGTGTATGTCATTTGCAAGTGTGTGGTGTACAAGTAAGTATGTGTGATGGGCAAGTATGTGTGTATGTGAGTTGTGCAAGTATGTGTGTGTGGTGTGTATGTGAGTTGTGCAAGTGGTTGTGTGGTGTACAATTGTGTGTGTGGTGTTCAATTGTGTGTGTGTGGTAAACAAGTGTGTCTGTGTGTGCAATTATCTTGCCAAATAATTGTGGCTATTATTTTAGTTACTGTATTTGTTAGCAGTGCTCTGAAGGTTTTTATANTTTCAATATGCTCATCGATACCAAATACCGTTTGGTGGAGAATGAAGCGTCCTCGTTCATACCGTATTTGGTAAACAAGGTAAGAGGTAGCTGTGAAAATGGTATATGTGCGAATGACCTTTATTTTTAAAATGAAAATAAAAAGTGTGTATCGCGCTAACTCTCCAAAACATTTTATTCTTACTGATGAGGACGCTATTGCTTCTATGATTGAAAGACTTATGATTGTCTTTTGATCGAAGATACAGTTGTAATGCATTTGAACTACTGATAGAAGAAGTTTCATTCGTAATTTGTGCCACATCTTTCATTGAAGTGTTGAAACGACTTTTCCATTATAAAGAAAATCTTATGATTTCTTTTGTGATGAAGATACAGATATAGTTCATTTGAACTACTGACAGATATACGTTATTCGTATTTTGTTCAACAATATTTCTATGTCTCTTGCAATTGAAGTGTTCAAAACATTTTTTCAGTTAAAGAAAGACTGCCTTTTGAATTAAGATACAGTTGTAGTACATTTGAACTACTGATAAAAGAAGGTTAACTCGTTTTATGCCTTCCGCAGATAAAGTGTTCAAACAAATTTTCAAGTAAAAGAAGAGTTATGATTGCCTTTTGATCGAAAATACAGTTGTAGTACATTTGAACTACTGATAGACGAAGCTTCATTTGCATTTTGTAATACATACTTT